CTCAGTCCTACTCCATACTCGGTGAAGCAGAAGCAGCGTTTAACATGATTGTTAGGTGATTTGTGTGCATATTTATGATTGGAAAGTGCTGCTTTAGGGCCTCATGCTCTCTTTCCCTCTGGGGCTTTTATACATTCTTTTATACATTCTCCATTGTACTACATACTACGGACTGTGTTTCTGTGTTTAAAACTCTGTTCTCCAAGATTTTTTTTTTTTAAGATTTTATTTATTTATTTGACAGAGAGAAATCACAAGTAGACGGAGAGGCAGGCAGAGAGAGAGAGAGAGAGGGAAGCAGGCTCCCGGCTGAGCAGAGAGCCCGATGCGGGACTCGATCCCAGGACCCTGAGATCATGACCTGAGCCGAAGGCAGCAGCCTAACCCACTGAGCCACCCAGGTGCCCCTGTTCTCCAAGATTTGTCTGGGAAAACCCTGACTGGTGAAAGCTGGGTTGGGGCTTTTTTCCCCCAAACATGGCACTTATTCCTTTGTACAATAATGCCCCTTTAACTCCTTTTTCTTTCCCACAAAACAGGGGTTTTCTGTTCTGGTTGTACTTTAGAGTCTGCCTGAGAACTTAAACAGAAGACAGATTCCTGCGTCCCACCACTAGAGATTTGGGTTTTAATTGATTTGAGTAAGGCCTAGATACTGGTGTTTTAAGAAGTGTTCCAGATGATGATAATGGGGAGCCAAATTCAGAACCAGCACACCAAACTTTAAGCTTCTTGGAGACCAGATTGTGTCTTTTCACTGTTGTATTCTCAGAGCACAGTCTCATTGGATAGTTACATAAACTCTACTGGTGAAGAGTTGGTGCCCCTAGTTTCTCAGGGCTACGGATCTGGATTCTGTTGTTCATACCATGCTACACCACAACCCCTCCTACATGTTCACAGCTGGGCAGTCCATTCCTCTCATGAAACCAAGGAGCCATTTCTTGAGGAAAGAACTCGAGCTGGCATTTGAGATATGTCTCTAGTGATCTCTGTATTCTTTTCTTGAGCACATTTGATCCTGATGTAATGAAGCACGTTTATATAATTGGATGCTAATAGGCACATTGTTTTGAAAGACTGTCTCCAAACATGAGTTTCAATAGCAAAACCACTAAATGGGTCCTGAGACCTTATAATAGTGAGGAGGTTGGTGTGATCAATACAGTTATAACAGACAGGTTTTCTCAAAGTTAACCATAGTTTTATGGGAAGTTAAAAAATACATTCTGGGAGAATTTTCTTAAGTTTCCATCCCATTTTCTTAAAATTCAAAGCGACGAGTTTAAAAAAAAACTCTCTTAATAATATATGGATGCAGTGTTTTATATTTTAGAGGTAAATTCATTTCCACAATCTCAATAAAGAATGTCCCCATATTATAGATGAGGAAGCTAAGGCCTAGAAAATTTGGATAACGCCTTGTATAAAACACCAAATTAGGGGCGCCTGGGTGGCTCAGTGGGTTAAAGCCTCTGCCTTCGGCTCAGGTCATGATCCCAGGGTCCTGGGATCAAGCCCCGCATCGGGCTTTCTGCTCAGCAGGGAGCCTGCTACCCTTCCTCTCTCTCTCTGCCTGCCTCTCTGCCTACTTGTGATCTCTGCCTGTCAAATAAATAAATAAATAAATCTTAAAAAAAAAAAAGACTTAAGAGATTTAAAACAAACAAACAAAAAAACCCACCAAATTAGAGGCAAAGCCAAAGACCACCGAGATCTCCTGATTATAAGCTCAATGTTATTTTTTAATTTTTACTTTGTGTGTGTATCCTGGTATTTTCTGGGCATTTGTTTGATTTTTACAGCCGACTTCTGTTGAAATAAACAGACTGGTAGATCTGGGCTCTAAGCCCAGCCTTGCTGCCTCCTCACAGTGACCTGAAGCAGTGAGTATAATGGTTAAGAGCATGGATTCTAGGACCAGGCTGCTGGGGCTTATCATACTGCCTCTTCTAATTACTAGTCTATGGCCCTGGGCAAACTCATCACTTTCATAGTCTGTAAAATAGGGATAACAATGTGACTTAATTCATAGACTTGCTAGAGGATTAAGTGAGCTACTCTTTGTAAAGGACACAGAATCATGCCTGCACACAAGGTAAGTGTGATGTAAATCTTTGTTAAATAAAAAACTGGCTCAATCTTATTATTTTATACCTAAGGTCATTTTTCAAATCACACATTGTGATGATCCATATTCAATTTTCAGTAAGTATCTTTTCTTAGATACTAATTATGTATAATATTATAGAAAAGGAAATAGTGGGGTGCCTGGGTGGCTCAGTGGGTTAAGCCTCTGTCTTCGGTTCAGGTCATGATCTCAGGGTCCTGGGATCAAGTGCTGCATCGGGCCCTCTGCTCAACAGGGAGCCCGCTTCCTCCTCTCTCTCTCTGCCTGCCTCTCTGCCTACTTGTGATCTCTCTGTCAAACAAATAAATAAAAATCTAAAAAAAAAAAAAAAAGGAAAGAAAAGGAAATAGTATGGCCGATAGACTTCTTCTGTCCTTGAGGAGTTTACAATCTACAGAGAGATGGAACAAAATTTTTTTTTAAAAAACCAAGAAAGAGCCCTTCCTTGTTGGTTATTGTGGCAAGTTTGAGGAGGGAGACATAAGACTCTCTATATAGCTTCTAGGTTTCCGACACTATTCTTGTTTCAAAGAATCATAGGTTCCATCCAATAACTTTCTCGAATCCCATGTCATAAACTTCAGTGGGCTTGTCAGGATACACAAGTGGGGGGACAGAAGAAGCGCTGGTCATTGCTTGCTGCAGGGACTCTTGGAGCCACAGACTGGGCATCAGTCCTACTCCTTCTGCTCTGGGAAACTGTTCTGGCTCCAAAAGCATGAAATAGGGGCCAACAATAAAAGTCTTCATCTACCCCAAGATTTTTGTTCCTCCTATTTAAAGAGAGACCAAGCCCCCAGATGCCAGGGAGACAGTGACGCTAAGTCAGTTAGCAGCATTTCTAGGGCATCAAACTATCATTACTTCTCTTTAAAAAAAAAAAAAATTAGTAACGAAGGTTAATTTTCCTTCCTTTCTGTAACCCCTTGTAATTAATATTACCCATTCTGGGGATTTCTGATTAGGATACATGCCCGTGTCTTGGAATGGGTTATGAAAAGCCAGTTGGAATATTTAGGGACTGAGTGTGTGTTTTGGCTTAAATGTCTGCATTCTGTATCAGTTGAACCAGAAGAGCTAGACCTATCTATTGATTAATATCTATTGACTGATATATAGAACTAATGAGCTAAATTATGAAACGTAATTATGTCAGTGATACTATGCGATCCTACATAACTTAGATGCTACAAGGTATTGCAAGAACTTGAACCAAAACTTGAAACCAGGGAAGATAAATTAGTATTGTTATGGCTATTTTAAAATTAAATACATTATGACATTACCCAGGTAGATTCTTTTTTTTCCTTTTTTTTAATTTAAAAAATTTTTAAAATTAACATATAATGTATTATTTGTTTCAGAGGTACAGATCTGTGAACCCAGGTAGATTTTTAAACATTTGTGATTATCTTAGTCACATATTTCTGAGAGAGGTCAATCTATAGGTTTTCAAGAGAGACATTTAAGATATCTTTACATTGAAAACATTATAGTATAAATTCTTTGTACTTTAACATAGATAGGAAAAAATCAGTGTTTTGTCATCCCCATGTTAAATTTTGTCTAAAGCAATTAAATCATTTAGGTGCTATGTAAATAAAAAGGGATCTTAGTCCAAATGTCTATTTGCTAGAAGATTTTGTGACAGAAAAGTCAGATCAGTAGACACTATTGCTATTTAGAAATTGATATTCCTGTAGCCTCAAAAATCAGAGGTTAAGAATCACATTTGCACCATTTCACACCAACTGGGATGGCTTTAATTGAAAAAAAAAAAAAAAGGAAAATAATGAGTGTGGGTAAGGGTGTGGAGAAAGTAGAAATTGCACATGCTGATGGGACTGTAACATAGTACAACTGCTGTGGAAAAGTGTGGCTGGTTCCTCAAAATTTCAGACATAAAATTGCCATATGACTCAGTAATTCAAAATAATTCAAAATAATTGAAAACAAGGACTCAAACACATGCTTGTGTATCAGGGTTCACAGTAGCATTATTCACAATAGCGGAAGGTAGAAACAACCCAAATATCCCTTAACAGAAGAATGGACAAACAAAACACACTGTGGAATAAACATACAATGGACTATTATGTAACCATAAAGAATAAAGTTCTGGAATGGGTTACAACATGGCTGAACCTTGAAAACATCATGTTAAGTGAAGTAGGCCAGACATAAAATAAGAAATGTATGCATCCACTTACATGGAATATCTAGAATAGCAAATTTAGAGACTGAAAGTAGATTGGAAGTTATGAGGGGTTGTGGGGAGGGAGATATGAGGAGTTATTAGTTAATTGCTGCAATGAACTAATCTCTTTAGGGTAATAAAAAATTTTGGAAATGATAGTGGCTGCAAAACACTGTGAATGTAGTTAATGCCACTGAAATGTACATTTTACAATGGTGAAAATGGCAAATTTTATGTTATATATATTTTACCACAATAAAAACAGAGTAAGAATAATTATATTTGCAACATTACCCATTGCTTGCTTTCTTACAGCCCTTTTCATAGTCATAGATCTAGCCATGGTACAGCCTAGATGTCTCTCTAATACAGGGATTATATTCTATAAAAGCAGAGGGTATATCTCTGATGGTGTAATTGATTAAGGGTCCATTATTTCCTCTGGGATCCAAAATTTAAACGTAGGCTTCTGAATTTAGGTTTTGTGTCCTTTCTGCCAAAATTTCCTCACTGAATGTTGACTCAAACAGAGCAAGAAGGGACTTCTTGAAAACATTTTTGAAGTTCTCCCCAGTAAATAGATAGAGTGTAGGAGAAAAGAGAGCATTGAAAGAAATGGTTATCACTGTAAGTAGCTGAGTCACCTGTAAAAGTACTGATTGATGCTCAGTGAGAAGTAAGCCCTGGTGTACATGGTAGGGCATCCAGCACACAAAGAAAGAGAGAATGGCAGTCACCATGACTTTGAACGGCTTATTAGATTTAAACAGGCTCCTCTCTTTCATCTTGTTGGCTACTCTTTTGTAACAAAGCGTGATGATAAAGAAAGGCAGAAGGAAGCCCAGCAAGAAGCGGCTGATGAAACAGGCTACATGAATCCTTTTCCCTAATGTCTGCATCTTACTGCTTTCCCAGTTAGGAGATGCAGCGTAGTTATTTTGGCAGGTCACTCTTCCTTTATGGTCATACTTTGTCTCTCTGAAAACCAAATAGGGCATGGCGAGGGCAGTGGCAGACAGCCAGATTCCCAGGACGATGCCGGTAGCCCAGCGTGGGGTTCGGTGAAGCTGTGACCACACTGGGTGAAGAGTGAGAAGGTAACGGTCAATGCTGATGGCCGAGAGGAAGAAAATAGAGGCCAACATCCCTGCCGACAAAGTGGCATTGAAGACCTTGCACATGGCAGTTCCAAAGCTCCAGTGATTGTCCTGAAGGTAGGTGGTGGCTATAAATGGTAGAATCAATGTTGAAATAAAATAGGAGAGAATGAGATGAAAAAATAAGAGTGTATTGACAGTCTTTTTCATCTTGAATTTTAGCACCCACAGGTAGAGACCATTGGTGATGGTACCAATTATAACTGACGTGCACAGCAGAAAGGCAATGATCACATTCGAGGCAGGAACTGGAAAGTGAGTGCTGTTTCTTACTAAAGTAGAGACACTGAGCAAATCAGTCAAGTTGACCAGATCCATAATTACCTATAGAGAGAGAAAAACAGAAAACGACCACGAAAAAGAAGCAAAAAAAAAAAAAAAAAAAAGAAAAAAAGGTTAAATATAGAAATATAAACAGTAATCTTTGCATAGTAAGGGTCAAAATGACACAATTTTTAAAAAGGCAAACATTGGGGGCCCTGGCTTAGTTGGTGGAACATGTGAATTTTGAATTCAGGATCTTGAGTTCAAGACCCACATTGGGTGTGGAGCCTCCTTAAAAAAAAATTATAAAATGACAAACATAATATTTCCACAATAATACAAATCAGATATTTTCCTGAGCTTTATATTTTTATTTTGTATGAAGAATTAAGATCAGATTAATTTGAACATCCAAAATGGAAACACTACAGATGAAATTAATGTGAAAGAGAAATAAAGTTTGGGATATTTTGACTTGAAGTAATGAGCTCAGGTAGCCAAACATCTTCTATTTAGAAATGAACCAAGTCTGACCCTCCTTCATAGTCATAACTTCTTGAATAAGGCAATGTAGGATCAGTTTTGCCTGACTAAGTTTTGGTCAGGGCAAATGTTGCTAATGAAATTGAGTAACAAAATTAACAACTGCTCCAAATCAGTAATCATCCAGAGCTATAATTAGTTTTCTCCCATAAGTTAATTATTATATGTAGTAAATGCTAGTATTTTAATAGTCAGCATGTGATAAGAACCGATATTCATTTGGGAGCCCTGGGCTAGAGCACCATAAGAGGGTGACATGTTGGGGCGCCTGGGTGGCTCGGTCAGTTAAGGATCTGACTCTTGATTTCGGCTCAGGTCATGATCTCAGGGTCCTGAGATCAGGCCCCACCTTGGGCTCTCCTCTGGGCGTGGAGAGGCTGCTTAAGATTCTCTCTCTCCCTCTGCCCCGTCCCCCCAAAAAAGATTGTAAAGTGCCTTGAAAATCATCAATGAAAGAGGAGCATGTGCTGTTGAGTATAGTGGTAGTTCTTACTTGGGGAAGGAAGAGAGGGAGAGAGGTCAAGGAATTGATATTTATCTAATACTTCTTATATGCCAAGAGCTTTATAAAAGAGTCATTTCTTTTTTTCCTCATAAAGACAAATACTTAAACAGAAGAGAAAGTGAGGCTTACAGGGGTTAAATTTCTTATTTATCAACATTTCCCACTGTCCCTCCATTTTTGTGGCAGGTGGGGAACCCCACCAGTGTTTTATGTGACTTCTTTGAAAACTAGTAATTCATGTGTAGTGTTTTGATAATGCTCCATGAATCAGAGTATTTGATGATCCAAGCTAGCCCATTTCTTGGAAAATGATTCCTATAGTATTGAAAATATGAACCTGAGAATGTTTTGGAAAATAGCTATTATATATAGCAGTCATATCAACAAATTGGTTTTTGATAAATTGGATAAATTGCTTTAATGGAAATTGCTAATTTTTTTTCACTAAGCAAAAACATCTTAATATATGGAGAGAAGAAATAAAAGAATTGCTATTAAAACCACAATTATTTTAAGTTAATTCTGCCTTCTAAGGAAGTTGCAAAATTTTTCTCCAAAGTAGAGAAATGGTCCTCTTGGGACACCTGGGTAGCACAGTGGGTTAAAGCCTCTGCCTTTGGCTCAGGTCCTGATCCCGGGATCCTAGGATCAAGCCCCGCATCCATCGGGCTCTCTGCTCAGCAGGGAGCCTGCTTCCTCCTCTCTCTCTGCCTGCTTCTCTGACTACTTGTGATCTCTGTCTGTAAAATGAGTGAATAAAATCTTTAAAAAAAAGAAAAAAGAAAAAGGGTCCTCTTTAGGGAAATACCTTAGTAGTCTGCTTTGAATAAAAAGCGAAGTCTTAGCACATGGAATGGGTGGCAATGGTGAGTGGAAGAGTGGGAACTTGCGAAAGAGGTTGTGTGAAGGCCCTGGGGCCATGAGTAGAGGGAGGAGGGATTTGGTCTTCAGAGAGTGAGGTACAGGAAAAACACTGCGGGAGGTTAGAAGGTTTGAGGAGGAGAAGAATTCAGTGAGATATTCTGAGAAGCAGAAATGGCACAGAGGATTTAAAATGAGGAATTGTCTAATATTCAATTTTAATCCATTTGCTATGCTTTGACATGGTGTAACGTCCCTTCTCTTTAATCACAACTGTCTTGTATTGGTGGTTGCCTTGGGGAATCAAAGAAAAAGAGCTTGTGTTCCTGATTTGGAATGCAGTGGGATGGAGAGAACAGACCAGCAGCAGGAGGTGAGATGTGAATGAGATGATGAATATGGTGGAAACCGGAGAGACATTGGAATATGAGTAGAGAAGGAGAAACAAAATCACATGGAGAATTTCTGATGCTGTGTGTGGATAGCCTTTGTGTGTCTGTCTGTGCATGTGTGTCTGTGTCTGTGTGATGTGTCTTTGGTTTGTCTCTATTTATGGTGTATTTGTCTGCATGTATGTGGATATATACTCTTGTGTGTGTCTCTGTGGTGTGTGTTTGAATCCGTGGGGTGTGCATGGAGGGGGATGTGTGTGTGTGTGTGTGTGTGTGTGTGTGTATCTGTGTGTGGCCTCTGTGTGTATGGTGTACGATGCCTGTAGTCTGTGTGTATTTATCTGTGTAGCGTGTGTTTATGTGGTGTTTGTAGGTCTGCAGTGTGTGTGTGTGTGTGTGTGTGTGTGTGTGTGTGTGTGTGCGCGCGCGCGCGCGCGCATGTGGTCTTTTGGTGTATGTGCGTATAAAACACTGGATACCTGAATTACAGGGAAGGGTTTTGTTTTGTTTTGCTTTGTTTTTAAACAGTTGTGTGGCTGAGCTATAGAAAGGCATCTGAAAGTAATGTGGGGCTTGAACAAAAGCAACACGGGTAGTGGTGCTGAATAGAATATAAAGTTTCCTAGGAGCTTTGATTAATTGCACAATAACCAGGATATTTCTTCATTCTTAAAGAGCTTTTAACATGGTCTTAAAGTGCTAGAGTATAAATTAGTGGAGCAGAACCTGGGCTCTAGAGTCCCATAGACCTGGGTTTCCATTCTCTCTCTACCACTTACCAGTTCTGTGGACTCTTAACTCTGAGCCCCTTTCACTTTCTAAAACCCAATGAGTGTTTATGAGGATGGAATGACACAGTGTATATGAAACACTTAGCTTGGTTCATGGCACACATTAAACACTCAATAACTTTTTACCTATTATTTTGCTCAACTTGTTATTTGAAGGCTAGCAAGTACTTCATTTTGCCTTTTAATACTGCAGGCCACCTGGCCACTGCAGTCCTTTCCTCTTCAAAATCTCCCTACTGAATCTCAGAGGACCAGCAGTAACTTCTGAAAAAATCTAAATGTTCATCTATTGGGGCAGAAGTTCTCAGATTTGGAGTTATTTTGAGGCCTTGCTACAGTGATACCTTTGGCACAGAGTCTTTAGGGTAGACCCCTCCCCCACTCCTTGGGAACACTGTGCTCCTGTGGGGTTGGCAGAAGAACCTTGGGCAGCTGATGTGTGTTAATTTAGAAATTTCATTGTAATGTAGTAGTATAGTGGTATGTTCTTTTCTTCCTTTTTTTTTTTTTTTAATATTTTATTTACTTACTTGACAGTGAGGGAGCACAAGCAGGGAGAGAGGCAGGCAGAGGGAGAGGGAGAAGCAGACTCCCCACTGAGCAAGGAGCCCAATGCAGGACTCGGTCCCACAACCATGGGATCATGACCTGAGCCGAAGGTAGATGCTGGACTGCCCGAGCCACCCAGACGCCCCTGTTCTTTCCCAGCTTTTCTACTAAAGCTCTAAAAACTTTCCCAAGAATTAAACAAATTCATTGAATGTTCTCCCAAACAGTGTGTTTGTCATTAGCAATGACCTATCCCATTTAATGCAACAGCATTTAATTAAAAAAACAAAGCACTGGCCTTCCCCCAAATGATACTTTTCCTTTATAAAGCTCAAATCTGAAGATTTCTGATACATATTGGAGGTCGCAGGGTCTGTAGGCCCTGCATCTGGATTTCCTGTTGAGTTTGTTGCTGTGGTAGGTACAGTCTCCCCCTCACTGCCCACCACAGGGACTAGAAAAACTGTGCACTCATTTCCCCGAATTTCTTTGCAGCAAGCGATTCACTTTTTTTTTTTTTTAATTTTCAAGACTTTATTTATTTATTTGACAGAGATCACAGTAGGCAGAGAGGCAGTCAGAGAGAGAGAGAGGAGGAAGCAGGCTCCCTGCCGAGCAGAGAGCCCGATGCGGGGCTCGATCCCAGAACCCTGAGATCATGACCTAGAGCCGAAGGCAGAGGCTTAACCCACTGAGCCACCCAGGTGCCCCGAGCGATTCACTTTTAAGCATCAAGGGTTTCATGTGATTCAGCGAATCATAAGGCAATGCCACCTGTGCAGTTTCTGGGGTTGGAAAGCTGATCTGGAGTAAGCCTAGAGGGTTTATTCAGATGATAGCACGAGGATAAAGCCTGCTGGCCCAGGGAATCTTACCTTGGAGTTATATCTGCATGTCAGGTGGTCTTATGTGGGCCAGAGTGACTCTAGGACAGTAGTCTTCTCTCCAGGTACAGAAACAAAAATCAGTGACACTTTGACTTCATTTCATCTGCCTTTCTTCTTGCTGATCCTATTCCCCAGCGTTGAGCCTACTATTTAAATATTCTGTGAGGTCTTTTGGCTCTTTCCCAGTTCCTTTTTCTGTGAAATATATCATAAGAGGGAGGTAGAGAAAGGACTGCTTCTTCAAATCATTTCTCCATTTTAAGTAGAGATTTTAAAAATTCCATAAAGAGTCATTCCATGTAAGGTTGATAAGCTTGTTGCAGGTGTTAAGACACTGATGAGAAATGACCTTCTCATATGTGGTCGCCCCCCTCCAGGCACCCCCTTGGCCTTGAGTGGAGTGTGGTCATTAGCATATGGAGCATGGTGCTGGGTGCATAGGGAAGTGGTAAATACATAGCATGGAAAAAAAAAAGTAAGTCTGGAAACGAGTGACCTAATTCCGCTGGAGTGAAATGGTCAGGAAGAGAAACAACCACTGAGTTTCACATTAAAATGAAATGTGTGAAGACAAGGCAAAGATCAATATTATTTAGTTGAGAAAGATGCAGACTTTTATTTCTTGTTTGGATCTGTACAATTGTTGAGAATGGTTGGCAAGAACACAGAGTTGGGTACCGTATCATGGAAATCTCGTTATAAGGAAATCCTGCAGCACAGGTAATATATTTATAAACCGAGTCCTGCATTTCCTGTTTTCGTCTCCCCAGTCCATCTTGACATTTTTTAGGATTAGCTTCTCTGCTGACCTCAGTGTCTTGATTTCTTTCCTGCTCAGTTTCCTTTTGATCTCTGCACTGCCAGTAGAGAAAAAGACATCAAAACATCTGTGTGGCTTCAGTGTTGAAGCTCAGGAATCAGTCATCTAGTTGGTGTTAGAATTTTAAAGCTTTCATGGCTACTGTAACCTTATTAGAAATAGGCTTAAATTTTAGTTCTTAATTCATTTGGGACTATGACCTTCATCCTGGGAACTAATCTTCTTTGCTTCAGGATAAGTTTTCAGACTTGCTACTGCATTTTAAGAGTGAGTTTTGCTCAGTTTTCATGCCCTTTGGGTTAATTTACATATCTGGAAATGACCTCAGATATTATTTGGTTCAAAACAGCTAATTTTGAAGATGAGGAATTGGAGATGCAGAGAAGTGATTCACAGTTTTTAAATTTTATTTAATTAATTTATTTATTTGAGAGAGAGAGAGTATGAGAGAGCACAATCAGGAGAAGCAACAGAAGAGGGAGAGAGAGAAGCAGCCCTCACCATGAGCAGGGAGCTGGATGAAGGGTTCGATTGCCGGACTCTGGGATCATGACCTGAGCCAAAGGCAGACAGTTAACTGACTGAGCCACCCAGGCACCCCAACAGTAGTTTTTACCAACACAATAACAAGGGCTCCTTCTGCTGCCCTATGCTGTTTTATTAATAAAAAAGATTGAAGGGGATGTGGGCTAAGTTTCTCCTCCTCTTTCACTCTGTATTTTCAAATTTTATAATTAGTAAAATTCATAAATAACAAATATATTAGGGACTAGTGTTTAACACCCCCCCCAAATGCACAGGAGCTAGTACTACCATTAGATAGCCTAAAATTTAACTCTTCTGTAACTGTCCTCAGAAATACTCTAATTAGTGAGCATTTCCTTCAAATATGTAGTTAAACCAGTGACATTAACTTTGTTGGGAAATATGTGGACTGTGTTTGAGGAAGTCTCTTCTGTGGCTTTGGTGACGTGACTTCATTCATTTCACTTTTTATATTTCAAATTAAGTCAAGTGATTTCAAGGAAAGAAGTCATGGAAGTGGAAACTGTTTTATGTTGTTTTGATATGAACACAGTATGAAATATGTAGAAAAGCAGAAGCAAATGATGTTGCAAAATTAAATGCTCAAAGGTCTAGGAACTCATATTTGCATATAGTTTTTAGAGCTGGAAGAGGCCACAGAATTAATTTCATCTAATTCCTGATTCTATAGGTGAAGAGAGTAAGACTCATAGAGATATTTGAGAGCTTCTTTCCATTATTATTTAATAAATAACGGGGCAGAAATAATATACACTAAAAATCCTGATGCACTACATCGATTGCACAAGACAATATAGGATAAGAAAAAAAAAACCTAGATATAAATTTCAACTCTATTACTTACATATGTATAACTTCTCTGAATGTCTTTTCTCTATGTAAATGGAAAGAAAGAAAGAAAGAAAACACCTCTTCTGAAGTATTATTTTGAGGAATAAATGATATATTATAGGTAAGGACTTAGCATAGTTCCTGGCACATGGTAAATGTGAAATAAATGATAGCTATTATTAACATGTAAGTTGTAACGAGCCCAGTGGGCTGGAGCAAATCTCTGAGCAGTATAATTCAAGAAACATTTATTGAGTATCTAATGCATGCCACAATGTGCAGTATAATTCAAGAAACATTTATTGAGTATCTAATGCATGCCACAATGTTTGAGACTGGGGAAACAAAATAAATAATTCAAAATAATTGTCTTTAGTGTTTATAGTTATTAAAGAAGATGGTTCTCCAACTGACTAGCTTAGGAAGGTTGAGGAGAGCATATACTAGATCTGGCAATCAGTATGGTTAACGGTCTAGCAAAAGAGAGCAATGCTTTGTTATTTTCGCCTGGTTTTGCATTTTTCAAGATTACTTCCCAGCACCCTCTATGTCCCAGCATAGTTGGAATAACAAGGCTGGTATTAGCCCAGCAGTTTCCGTTCTGGCTGATGTCAAAATCACTTGGAGGTCTTTAAAAAAATGCAAAGTATCCCTGTGATTTAATTCATTTATCTAGTATTTATCAAATACTTAGTGTATTTGAAGGACTGTTCTTGCCTTTGGGGATATAAAGAAGAGCTTTGTTCCCATGGGCCTTACATTCTAGTGCGGAGAAATGGACAAGATCCAGTTGATAAAGAAGTATATTACCTAGCACTACAGTATTATGCAGGGTATAAAACATGGAGATGTGATGAGTAACCAATTGGCTATCTAGATAGGGCAGTTGGAGGAAACTTTCAGTAGATAACATTTGATGGGATTGGCATGATATGAAGGAGCCAATTGTTCAGTGATTAAGAGGGAAAGCAGGGTGGGGGGAAAGGTGAAATAAGTGAAAGAGATTAAGAGGTAAAAACTTCCAGTTATAAAATAAATAAGTCATGGAGATGAAAAGTGTAGCATATGGAATATAGTTAATAATATTGTAAAAGTTTACGGTGACAGATGGTGACAACAATTACGGTGAGCATTGAGAAATGTATACAGTTGTTGAATTGCTGTATGACACCTGGAACTAAGATAACATTGTATGTCAACAACACTTCAATAATAAAAAAAATTTTTAGAAAAGTAATATTTTTCATTTTATCCTTTATGTTCTCTAATGTCCTCTTAAATGGATAACTTTTCTTTGTAATTACAACCATTTAGACCACCAGTTTATCACTAAAGTTATAAAAGACCATTTCCTCAGAATACTGTTTTATTATAGACCTAAGTATTTTGGACTCTGTATTAAAACATGAATTATTTTATTATTTAAATAGGCAGACATATGTCATTACATAAGGCAACCCTATCCTATTTTATTCCCATTTTATACAAACACAGCACCATTTGTTTAAGAAAAGTTATTTTTAATAGATTACTACTGGGGTGGTTTGCTTCTCTGTTAGAGAGATGCATACTGCATTTTCTTTTTCTGTACCTATTGGCTTTTTTTTTTTTTTTAAAGATTTTATTTAATTTTTTGACAGAGAGAGATCGCAAGTAGGCAGAGGCGGGCAGAAAGAGAGAGAGGGAAGCAGGTTCTCCGCTGAGCAGAGAGCCGGATGCGGGACTCGATCACAGGACCCTGAGATCATGACCTGAGCCGAAGGCAGTGGCTTAACCCACTGAGCCACCCAGGCGCCCCCCTATTGGCTTTTCAATGATGGTGATGGTGCTTTCAATGGTTTGCTTTTTCAAAAAATTTAATTCTGGGTTTCAAATATTGAACCATCAAAAAGCATTAAAAATTACCGTTCTAAAGAATACAAAAACACTAATTCAAAGAGATTCATACAGCCTGATATTTATAGCAGCATTATTTACAATAGCCAAGATATGGAAGCGGCTTAAGTGTCCATTGATTGTTGAATGGAAAAAGTAGTATATGTATGGAATGGAATATTATTTAGCCATAAAAAGGAATGAAACCTTGCCATTTGCAATGATGTGGTTGGAGCTAGAGTGTATAATGTTAAGCAAAATAAGTCAGTCAGAGAAAGATAATTATTACATAATTTCACCTCATATGTGACATTTAAGAAATAAATGAGCAAAGGGAAAAGAGAGAGAGGGAGAGACAGACCAAGAAATGGACTCTTAACTATAGAGAACAAACTGATGGTTACCAGAGGAGTTGGGTGGGGGATGGGTGAAACAGATGATGGGGATTAAAGAGTACACTTATGATGAGCACTGGGTGATGTATGGAATTGTTGAATCACTATATTGTATACAATATAACACTGTATGTTAACTGGAATTTAAAAAAAAACTTAAATAAATTACCATTCCAAACCAAAAAAGAAAAAAAAAAAAGAGGAAGAGCATTATTACCTTGGTCCTAACTTACATCTTGCTCCTTGTCATTTCTCTGTTGACCCCTTTCTACTTCTTATCCGCTCTTTCTCTCTTTTTTTTTTCTTTAAGATTTTCTTTATTTATTTGTCAGAGAGAGTGAGCACAGGCAGACAGAGTGGCAGGCAGAGGCAGAGGGAGAAGCAGGCTCCCTGCTGAGCAAGAAGCCCGATGTGGGACTCGATCCCAGGACACTGGGATCATGACCTGAGCCGAAGGCAGCCGCTTAACCAACTGAGCCACCTAGGTGTCCCCACTCTTTCTCTCTTAATTGGGTCTCTCCATTTATTGGAATCTTGGCTCATGACATTTTAACTTTCTATGGTTTATGGCTTGTATTCTCCTCCTTGGCAGGGTCCTTTTTATGACCGCATTCCTGGAAACGAGAATTGAGCTTTATTCAGGAGACTTCTGGGTTCTGCTCCCACCCTTGTT